GGGGTAAGGGAAAAACCTTTTATAAAAAATTAAACATCTCCACAACGCAAAAAAAAAAAAAAAAAAAAAAATACATCTTGAAAATAGAAACTAACGACAACAAGTTTAACATTCTCTAATTGTTTGAAAATATTTCTGCTTTCAATTTGTTATTGTTGTTAATGTCAAATGCACTCTTCTACATTCACCTGAATTATGAAACAGCCTTAGAAAGGAAAAAGTTAATTCCTCAAATAACCCCAAACACTGCCATCCAGTGCTTGGGGCCTCACAGCAATGGTTTTTACATCTCTGACTATTTGGACTCCTTTCTGATTTCAACTTGTTCTTGTTGTTACTGTGATAGCAAACTTGACTCACGTGTTCGATACATGCTGGTGACCACGTCGCTTTCTCTTTCGACAAACTGTGCCCCTGCCTCTGTGGAGACAACCTGACGGCTGATGGCTTTGATCGTGAATGTGTAGTCCGTGCTGGGGCTCAGCCCAGTGATCGACAGTTCAGGGGAGGCGTCGTGGGTAACTCTCAAGGGCGGGTCAGCGACGGGATTGACGGGCACCGGCGTGTAGTCAATCACATACTCGGTGACCTCCCCAGGGGATGTGGCCCAAGCCAGCTTGATCTGTGTGGCTCCGATATCAGGCGGCTGGAACGACGGTGATGCGGGTCCTGAAAGATTTGGAAAATGACAAATGGCAGAATAACATATGAGGAGTATGATGAGGAATTATCAGAAAATCGGTCCAAAGGATTGGGAATAAAAGAATAAAGCATGTCAACCAAGAAGTGAGGGATAAAGTCACAACTTCAACATCAGGGGAAAACAAAATGGTGAAAATCACATTCAGTAAAGATTTTAAAATACAGAGAGACAATGAAGATGACAAACACAGAAAGCAAGGCAAAGAAATGAAGACAGAGGCCATGAGGATGCCAAACCGCGACTCAAAATAAAAATAATAAAGAAGCCTTTCTCTGTGCTGCCTTGACAGCGTTACTTCATGGGGCTTGAAATACAAATTTCACTGCATATAAAGGAGGTGCACTGGGGTATAACACATTAGGCATGCCCCAAGGGGTGCGGAAAAGGGGCATCTCTTCCCCTTCCCCCCCCACCCCAAAAAAAGCAATCAACAAAAGAAAAAGCACGAAACACAGGAAGAGGGAGGAAAGGGGATGCAAATCACTAAGTTTCTTGAAAATACCTCAGAATGTGTCTCGTTTTGATCATTCATGATTTATCGGTTTGCTGCTGAAGACCGCTTTGTCCCCCTACGGGAAAAAATCCCGCCCCTCTTCCCCCAGACAAAAAAATCCTGGCAATGCCCATGCAACGCACTCTTGGCTTGGGAGGTTATGAAAAGAAAAAGTGACTGGCCGTGGAAGCTAAGGTTAACATGAAAGTCCTTCACAGCTTTAAAAAACAAAGCAAAACTGATTAAAAGCACGGTGTTCTTATTAAGTTCAACTTACTAGTGACAAACATGGCCTGGGAGGCATCACTGGTAACTTCGGCAACCTGTGGCGGATCGACAATGGTCGAAACCCGGACCGTGTAGACACGACCCGGCACCAGGCCAGGGCCGAGGTTGATTATGGAGGTGGTGGCAGGGTAGTCTAGTAAGGAACAAGGAAAGAATGTAGCTTCCAATAATGTTCACAATCTCAGATTATTAAAATGTTGCTCTTGACAAAAATGTTCACAACCTAGATAAAAAAAACTGCAAACTGGAAAACTATGCAATTTGAATTATATAGTGTCATGACAGCAAGAGAACTTTGCATATAGGTTTTAAATATTTCACAAATACTGCAACATTATTTTCAAAGAAATCACCATTTCGGAAAATGTCAATTTCTATAAAAGCTGAGGTAAACCTGTTCCATTTCAAACTTTTGTCAATCAAGTTTACTGTGGCTAAATTTGATTTCAAAGATGGAACCGTTTTTTGTTTTTAACTTTCTCCAATTTTCTAGGAACTGCAGGAAAGTGGAGTTGCTTACCCCTTGGGAAAAAGCGTGGGTCATCAGGGATGAGGTCAACACGATAGCCTGTGATTGGCTGACGGAAGTCAGCTGGCCCCTGCCATGTGACACGGGCACTGGTAGTACCTGAGCCAATCAGCTCCACACGGACATTACGTGGTATGAGTGGGCCTGTAGAATGGACCAACAAGAAAAGCTCTAGAGTCAACTGATTACATACATGTATATACATCACTAGACATACGGTAAGGCAGGTATCTCAACATCTAGCTTATAGACAGCACTTCAATGGATATTCTGTACTTGGGCCGTTTTCCAGTACTCAACTTCGGCTCCGTCTCTGGCTTCAACTGTTTTTACTACCTGACTTTGAATCTGTAAGCCTACTAATTAGTTTAATAGTGCCGAAAACATCAAATAAGATGCAAGAGAGCAAAATTTTACAGTAATTCAATTTGATTTAAAGGCTTCAGGCCCACAATCGGGGATTGGTTTCGAGGACGAAGCCTGAGACAGAGACGAAGTTGAATGTTGAAAAACGGCCTTGATCTGTGAATTTCAATTTTAGTCCAAATAGTCCTTATTTCTGACTTCTCATTATTATCAAATATGGATCCACCTTCTCTTAATTGATTCATTTCCCAAAACTACTTCAGACTTGCAGTAACTCATCATCCCACCCCCTCACGAGTTAAAAAAAATTTTTAGAGGCAGTTCAAAATGTTTGGGGGTGAATGTAGATCACATTGCATGATTTTTCCGGAAAAGAATTGCAGATTTTTTGGTAAAATGGAGGATAGCCTATCCTTTTGGGCCTAACGGGCTTTTGGCTTTTTCCCCTTTGAGAATAACTTTGTTTTTTTAAGATTGTCCGAATGGGCTTTATTTTTGAATGATTGAATTTATGAGCCCCGAGCTGGGCCAAGAGAGGGCGTAATTTTCCAGTAACGAAGGCTCCTTTAGTTGGAAATGCACTTCGCTGGTTCACAGATGACCATGAATGAGTTACGGGCGCGTCGCTACCAGTGAAATGAATATACCCAGCCAACACGGCTCTTTTCAGCTTATTTTTTTAATCATATCTGTTCATCCAACAAGGCATTTAGTGCCAATTACGGGATGATAATGAGTGAAGAAGACAATGAGGAAATGTTCAGTTTTTGAGGTGGGAGGAAAACCCGGTTAATTGTTTCGGAGAAACCCACTGACTCTGTTAGGGACTGAAAACCCAATCCGCATATGGACCAAGCTGGATTCAAACTCAGGCCTCCAGAGGTGGAAGGGGAGCAAAGAACAATATACCAATCTCAACCAATAGAGGGGGCAATTCTGCTCAATGTGGATAGATGCTGCCCTGATTACAAATTGTGTAAGTCAGCAAATCTTCAATATTTCTTGCAATATTTTAATTTAGGGTTTTGTCAATAAAAATGGAGGATCACACCCCCTTCCATGATTTAGCCTCACTTACGAGTAGCAACGTAAATTCTCTCTCGATCACTGGTTTCCTGTCCACTTTGTGTGACCACATCAACGGTGTACAGTTCACCAGGATCCAAACCAGACATTGTTGTGGCTTGTAGCTGACCACTACCTGCACCTGTGTCAGGGTGAAATAATGACAGCCAAGGTTAGTCTCTTTTCAAGGAATAAAACATGCATCTCAGTTTGAACGGGATACTGCAACAGCACCCAGCATGCCAGAAGTGTTGTCTGAATTTTGACTTTTTGTGAGACTGCAGCTCGAGTCTGTGAGTTTTGGATAAAGCTACAGTCTGAGACAAAGCCCAGATTTGGCAAATGGGCCTGGTGTTCTCACAGAGGCCCTTCGCGATGTACACGTTGAAGCAACCTCCTCTATTTTGGAACAGAAGAGGGGTGGACTTATCCAAAATGACAACGGCCTTTGTTCCACACAACTAACGTTCCAACTGCACATCCCAGTTTCAAAGTTGCTCTCTTTTCCACTCACTTATTGTTCGTCCTGTCTGTCGGCCATTGCTTGCTGCAGTCAAGGTGACAACGTAGCTATCCTCAATCCCCACTGGGTTATTCCAATACAGACTCATTGATGATGTTGTTGTGTTGAACAAACGGATGGCAGAAACCTTGCTGGGCTCTGAAAACAGTCAGTCAAATCAACTAAGCAATAGCTGGCAAGTGCAGGCTTATGGGCAGAACAGTATTCAAATATAACATGGTCTCAGGGTGGACGGTCAATGTTAACTCCCGCAGTACTAGAAATCGACAAACTAGTTTCTGAAGTGAAAGGAGCTTCAACTATAAATGGGCACCGACTGACTATATAACCACAATAAACCACTTGATAATTGATGTATTTCACATCCATGCATAGTCAGTTGCTATGACAATTTCAGGCATCATTTGAATGCTGAGCAACAGTTAGATGTGCTGCCATCTAGCATGATGCTTGCAAAGTGTGAACATTATCAAGCTTCATAAAGCACGCGCATAGTTGACTGTATCTTGGTTGGCCAGGGAACAGTTTACAATGCTTGAGTATTAGAACTTATGCGGGGGACCCATGAGTGTATCCCTGGTAAAAAGTGACTCGCACACGATGGTTGGAGGTTCGAATCCAGCTGCTGGCGGTATGTTGTGGCCCTTGGCAAGCCACTTCACCCTGGCTTGAATCTCTCCATCCAGGAGTATAAATGGATACCAGCATTAGCTGGGGAAGCCATGCACCTACGATGGACAGGCATCCCATCCAGGGGGAATAGAAAAGTTGTCAGTCGTTTCATGCCAAGGAAACCGGAGATAAACATCAGCCTGATGAGCCAAATCGACTTGAACCAGACTTGTACAGCAAATGATGGTGAATTGACCAGTTTAATATCGGCTCTTAGTTATGACTATGTATGAGATACGATAACGGGAATTTTACATTTGAAGAAAAAGATGTGGTCTTAGAATTTAAGTTTTTGACACTGGGTAGGAATCTGCATTCCCTGGAAGGAAAGATGAAGATGTCCACAAGTACTGACTACATTTTTGAGAGGTTAACCTTAATTTAGGACTTGGAAATATTGAATTACAATTCCAGTTCTGAAAGACCCGGCAGCTGCACTTACTGAGTCGCTGTACAGTGACACTGAGGGCATCAGAGGTGATCACACCCCTCAGGGTGGTGCGGAGAGTGAGGGTGTATTCCTGTCCTGGGTCTAGGCCATACAGCCGAAGGGACCGCGGGGTGTAGTCCTTGGGGAAGCTCCGGGGAGACACGATGGTACCAGGACGGAAGACATAGGGGCTGTAGCTGATCTGGTAGTGGTCAAAGCTACCGCTGGTCAGGGCCTCCCATTCCACAACCAGCTCGGTGTCGGTGTAAGACCTCACCCGAAGGTTCAGCGGGGTCACTGGGAGGAATCAAAGGGCAAAGAAACAAATTACAACCTGGAGTGGGTCTCAGTTAAAGCTGCTCTGACTAAAAACACCTCATTCATCTACAATGAAGAGATGGGTGGGGAAAAAAAGTCAACTTAGTGTACTGTACACATGCAAAGACATGCAGGGTCAGAGTGGAAATGAGGGTCAAAGGTTAAAGAAACAAATTGTCGCATTCTTTTCCTCCGTATCAATGCAATTACCTCACAAAAGTTGACCTTTTAGGTTTGAACTGACACAGAAGTACGTGTATATTTTATCAGTTCATATGAGCTGGTTTGGTACTTCAATTGTGCATGTTCCAAACCTAGCAAACTGGAGGTCATTAAGTACACATTAGATCAGCCTTTACAGAGCACTTACACGCATTTACCATCTTCAAATTGGTGAGAGATGAGGTGCTTTCTTCTAAAATGATCTTGCATCAGTGAAATACTGAGCTGGTTCCAAGACAGAGAAGCAGATCACTGGAGCAACCCCTCCCCCAGGAAAATCATCAAGGTTGGAACTCACCGTTTCTCAACGTCGCGGTGGTGCTTGTTGTCCGAATCTGGCCAGTACCAGTCCCCGAGATGGCTTCCAGTGAGAACGTGTACTGAGTGTTGGAACGCAGGTTGCTAATGGTGCGTCGCAGCGGCTGTTCAGAGGCCACAATCTCAATGGGTGGGATTGGCATTCCAATGGCCGGGTCATAGGTCAATCGATACAGGTGCACGATGTTACTGGGGGGCGGTGCCCACTCTACTGTGATGTAATCGGACCGAGCGTCGACCACACGGAAATTTGTGGGTGGCATGGGTCCTAAGTGGATCAAACAGAAAAAAACAGGGAGGCAGAATAAAAACTGCAACAGTAGCTATATATATATGCGGCATTATCATTTAGTGCGCATCATGCCTTGTTGCTCATATGATAACAGCCCTCAATTCTTTAGAAAGAATAGAAAAATCACTGTAACTCGCCCTGAGTGAAAGGCCCTAAAGCTTGTTACTCAGAGTAACAGGCCTTCTGTTTTGTAAAGTGGTCAAGACTAGAACTTTACTCAGACTTTCAATATCCTAATGGATTCATTTAAGAAAATATAAAATGTGAGTGACACATCAACCTCTTCATGAGCACGCAGATGCTCCACAACATAAATGTTATTTTAGGATGGTGTGCAGAAATTCACACAGGTACAACAGTCAACACTGCTTTGCTATGACATTCTCTGGACTTCAACAGGACTTTGCCGTTTTGACCAAACAAATCTTCACTTTGCAGCATCCTTTAAAAACACCCCCACAAAGATAAACCAGCCTGCAGGGCAGCAATGGTTGAATGGTTTAAGTTAGCTCAATCACTGATGTAACCGGGTCATTCCATGAGGTTGGGGCACAATTTGTGGCGCTGTCCATTGTTACATGGGTTCCGTAAAAAAGAACAGCTATTTCCCTGCATGTGGATACATCTTGCAAGGCTGAATAAAGAGGTGTGTGTTATTTTTACAGAGTAAATGCCCTCTCTACAGGTCATGACAGGTGATAAAAGTTACCAATGTAACAAGGACAAATTGTGCCCCAACCTCATAGAATGACCCAAGTATACAAGCAGCAATTATCAAATTCAATCTGGAATCTTATCATTATCAGAAGACGGGGCTTACTTGTTCGCTGGTTCCTGGACTGTTCCTCGCATGCCAATCCATCCAAGCTGACGTAGAAGATGTACTCCTCCCCAGGGATGAGATCCTGGAAGGTGAACTCCGGGTTGGGATCGGTGATGCCCACCACTGGGAACACTACCTCATCTGAGCCGTCAAGTCTGGTCCGCCTCAGTCGATATCTGGTATTAGGAAGGAAAAGGTTGGGATAGATATGAAGTACTTCAAATATTCGTGCTTGGTTATGATGTGGTCGTATTTTCAAAGCCCAGAAGGTGGTGAAAGGTCATTTTGTTGTTGTCATGAAACTGTAAATTACTGACCAAGAAGATCTGAAAGACGAAGAAACATTAACAAGAAGGAATGTTAAATTACTAGACTTGGAAGAAACACACCCAGTTCCTATTCAAGAGGTTATTTTCTGAGATGAATTTGTTATGACCCTGGCAAAAATTAACTGGAAATCTGCCCATCAACCCTTTCTCTGATATCCTCACAATGCAATTTTTGTGCTTGCAGAACGTTCAGAAATTTGTCCAGTCATAACCATCATTTTCACACCAATTCATCATGAGAATTTGACATACGCAAACAATGCGGACACACATGAGGTCATGAACTTTAAATGACCACAACAACAAAAAACTCCTATGCTGGATTGAATTGAAACTTTGCAGATGTACTCCTAATGAATGGGTTAAATGCACGCCAGCTTTCAAAAAGACTGGGCACTGGACAACTGAGACTTTACGGGAATCCAACCCCAGCTATGAGATGATCTAAACAACTAAAGTTCTTTTAGAGTCAAATCATCAGCTTTCAAAGGCATTCTTAAGAGTATCAATCATTGATGAGCGTCATGTTGCTGTGTTGGTTGTCCTATGCTGTGTAGTTAAAAACAGTGGCATTTCCGAATTTGAGGTTTGTTTTTTGGCTAGCTTTCTGTCATTTTGTAAGAGCCAGTCACACGTGGCACACACAATGCGGCAACCTTACAGCTGTGCAAGAACTGACCACGAATCTGTCATAACTAATGCACACTGTGCCGAACCTTGCCTAAAAACAGGTCTTTCTAAACCTACACTGGGAGTTTTTCACAAAACGTGGCAGCTAAAAACTTTTTTCTTACGTGGTGACAGTGCTAAGTGTAAACCAGTTGATGGTGACACTTGTTTCATCGAAAGTCCCAATCCTAAGGTCGCATGGATCGGCCTCAGCTGTAAGTGGGAGGATCAAAGGGCAAAGGTCACATTCTAGCATCACTGTACAAATGTAGAAATTTTAGGAAGAGTTTGCCAAATCTCATGTTAGATCCTGCACCGAAGATATCCTTTATGTCATATGATAATAATGGGTGTTTGTGTAAGGGTACGCATCAGGTTTAAACGGTGCTCGTCGCACTACATGATTATTACCCCTGCTCATCAGGCCCATAAATATTCCTCCCATCATCTCAGCTTCCTGGGGTGATTACAGCTTGATGCTGCCATTTCAGGTGCAGACAAATACAATAACTATCTTTGACCTTATACATATCCATTTATACCCCTGGTTGGAAAGAGACAAATGGGAGGAATGTGATTTGCCTTAGGTGACAACATATAGCTAGCAGCCGGATTCGAACCCAAAACCCTATGTTTGGGGGTTACAAATACATGCCTTCAGTTCCTATGGCTGGACTACTTGACGTAGTGAAGGCAGAACGTAAAGTCTTAGGGAATTTGGAATACAATTGACATTATATTGACTAGAAAGACGTAACGTGCAAAAGATACAGATGTAAATGTTTCTTACCGGTGTCTTGCTCTAGAGGTGTAGCAGGCAAGCTTTCCAACTCCCCGACGTAGGAGTACAACTTGATGTAGTACCTGGTGGATGGCTCCAGACCAGTCAGTCGAACCTCCCTGCCCTTACCACTGTCAAAGGGGGTGGGCACTGTACCTCTGGGGACATGGCAGATTCGGTAGCCCTCAAAGCTTCCACTGACTTCATTCCAGGTTAAGGTCATGGCGTTCTTGGTGATGCCGGATGCAATGGGGTTAGTTGGAGTGTTAGGTCCTGAGATTCAAAAAGTATGACGTTTTGGTTTTGTTCATTTCACAATTGTAGAGCAATTTTGCAAGATTTCTCTTTTTTGTCTGCTTTTGTAAATACAGCACTGACCTTATCTATTGGTCCTTACACTGCTCTGTGCAGACTAGAGTTTCTTACTCAAAGCAGAAGGATTAAGCCAGGTTTGGAATTGAAGGACCTGCTTAAGTAGCCGCATCAAAAGCCTACAAATATCATCACTTATGAGTTGAATATTTCACATCACAGTTCTGCATACTATGTTTCTATCAGACTTTGTTTCCTTTGGAGGTGACAAAGGTGGCATGGGTTGGGGTGAGAGGGTAGGAGTTGCTTCAGGGTGTGGCTTTTTACTACTGACTAATGGTAATACAGACGGGTGGCATGGAGGTGAGTGGGCAGGTGTATGGCAGGAGGGTGTGGTCTATGCACCCTGTGTAATGTCCTGCAGGTAGACTTAACTTTGGTGGTGTGGACAGTTCTGAGGTGGCAATAAAGTGGGCTGGACAAAAGAGGGGCGGATGGGTGGAGTCAGTAGGGTGGGGTCTTAATTGGAGGGCACAGCTAATATGTAGGGTGTGGTTGGATGAAAGGTGATAATTGGAAGGTGTAGCCAATATGGAGGGTGTGATGTGGGTGAGTTTGTTTCTGCATTCAAATGGGGACCCTGAACAATAGAGGACAATAAGGTCCCCGATTGACAGAGGGTCCCCGATTGACAATTGGTACAAAACATATGAGTGGTCTTCTAAAAAAGTCAAAGTACAAACAAAAGAGGAACAATAGGGGGTCCCCAGTTGCAGGCAAATACACACTTGTGTGTGTGTGTGGGGGGGATAGGGTCATATTGGAGGGTGTGTGAGATGCAGATTATGGGATAGAGTCATATTGGAGGGTGTGTGAGATGCAGATTGTGGGATAGGGTCATATTGGAGGGTGTGTGAGATGCAGATTGTGGGATAGGGTCATATTGGAGGGTGTGTGAGATGCAGATTGTGGGATAGGGTCATATGGGTGTGTGCGTGGGCTTTGGGTGTGGGATAGGGTCAGAAATGGCAGGTGTGGCCCACTGCAGACAGAACTTACTTGTGGTCTTGGAGTAGACTTCCTGGACCGTTTGCGATCCACCTTGCTGGGCCAAGGTGATAGTGTGTTGGGTGCCAGGCTGCAGTCCTGTAAACCTGATTCGTCGTTGGCCTGTCCTGGAGATCAGTGTAGTGGCTGGGGTAGCCCCTACCGGCTCATAGGTCACAAGGTAGTTGGTGAAGTCACCCTCACCAGGATGCCATGATATCTCAATCGCATTTGACTGGACGTCCACAACACTCACTCCCAAAGGCACTGCAGCCGCTGTTCATGGTAACACCAAAACAGAAACAGGACCAGGTCATTACAGAACAGCTGCTTGTAAAAGAGGTGATTTCTCGGTCGTGACATAAATGGCATGATCTGACATTTGGGTAGAGTACATTAAAATTTAATGCTTAAAGATGAATCCGTCCTTCTCAGACCAGAAATCAAAAAGGCTTGATGTATTTGTAGCTTTAACAGAAGAATCAAAGGACATTCATAAAAACAGTCCTTATATGACCAACAGCAGGCATGCCTGTTTTGATTGACACATTGGAGCTATTGCCAAAATGCGCCTTTTCCCAGGGTTTTGCTCGCATGGCAAGATGAGACAGGTTTGTGCACATTTGAGCGAAAATTGGCCGCACAGCACTGACACATCTGAACAAGTGTGAGTTGGTATTGTTGCCTTTCCTCAGCTATTTCAAGGGGCAATTCCAGCAAGGAGCCCACGGCTGTGCTGAACAGTAATTAAAGTGTTGCAGCTTGGTGTCTGACCAAGAGCTTTTTAACAGCCAACAGGGATAGAGTTCCTGTTGAAGCTAGAACTCACCTGACTGATATCGAGTGATCGCTTCTGCTGTACTCCGTCCGTCATCGAGGATGTGCACAAGGACCACTTCGTAAACAGTGCTAGGTTGCAGTTCATGTATAGGGTACCTGGCACAGCCGTCACGTCCGCCACAAACTTTCCGAGTGACCCGCAGGCCTCCTCCGTTCACGGAGGGGACTCGAAGCCACAGACAGAAACGGCCATCATAGGGAGTGAACGAGACCACTACAGTTGTGTCTTTGATGTTGGTTAGGGTTGGATTGTTGGGAGGTGGCAAACCTGGACATTTTGTTAAAGAAAAATTAGAAGTTAATAATTCAAAAATAAATATGGTTAACACGAGTTGGTAGCCTGTGAAATATCTTGGGGTTTGAACTTAAGATCATGGAGGGTTCTTTGGAAGTGATTCAGGACTGTGGGATTATGATGTCTGTGTCCTTGTGCAAGATACTTTGCCACTAGCTACTTCTCCCAATATCAGAGTCAATTGGTACTCATCAAAATAAAACAAAACAAGGCGCTTGAATGTAAAAAAATGACAAAATAGAACTGTATACTCCCCGTAATGTATACTCCCCTGTGAGACTCATAATGTCTCACAGGTATGATGAGCAGAGGTAACAAATTGAGGAATAACCATATGTGCTGCTCAACAGATATAATTGAGCAAATCAAGACTGTGCACTCATTACTGCTTAACCCCTTCATGGCGGGATTATTTTGACCGTGAACTGCTGGGCTGTGGTGTGCCCTGAATGGAGGGCTCTGTCCAGCAGCAGGCCCCGTTGAATCAGCAGCTGCATGGTGAATAGACTGTATGTATGGTAAGCACTAATCCTCGCACAACGGTGCGGTGTCAGGAGCAGTCCTCCGTATTGAAGGGGTTAAACAACTTATTTTAATCTATTCCAGATGTGAGGCATTGCATATGAAGATTTCTTCTGGTAAAAATGTCATTGAGAATCCCGGAGAAACAGAACATAAATTGAAAAAAGCGGAATAGTTAGCTGCACTTTCGTACTTACGAGTGCGATTTACTGTCATATCTGTGCCCAAGATCTGATCCCCCAACTTTGCTGTGATGGTAATGGTATAATCAGTGTCTGGCATCAGACCCTCCAGAACCAGGTACCGTAATGCAGATGCAACCTTGATCGTTGGGTTGGCGGTGTTACCCATCATCGGGCTGTATGACACCTCAACTGTATCGGCAGTCGCTGGAGGATTGCCCCAGGTGAGCCTGATGACAGTGTCCGTGACTGAGCCCGTCAGCAAATTGAAACCAGCCGCAACTGCACAAACAAATAACACCGGTTCCCTGTTAATGTCACAATGGAGGGATATCGCATGTTTTTCAATGGTCACTTGTCATGTGAAAGGAACTGTCACCGAGTACCAGTTGCAAGGAAACCACTGACGTCATGCAGGGGAGTATCCAGCAGCGGGAGTAAGGAGGCATGGTCCCCCTTGATGTTTTGATCTTTTCTTTTTCTAAATGCCACCATTTTAGAAAAAGTACCACCAACTTTCAGGCAGGGGAAAGATTGTTTGAAGGATGAAAAAAATTAGACAGTTATTTTTGGACACAACAATCCGTTTTGGCACCCCCCTGGCCCAAGGCATTACTGTGTCACTAGTGACAGTGAGACGCAGCCTTGCTTTCTTAGACGTGGAGTAAGTCTAGAGACAAGACAGTGCAGGAGAGACACTTCTCTCTGATACACCCTCTGGCTTAGGATCAACTCATTGCAATATGAGTGTGAATATTGAGCGGTTTTGACAAGTAAGAGTTCAACAAACTGTGTTCGATGCAGAGCAACAGGAACGTAATGTCATCAGGAAGAGAAACTGGGTGTTGTGTGAAGGCAATTTTCTATTTCAATTAAAATCAAATGAATGGGCCCTCACACTCATCTCATGGGCCCTGTCTGAAATCTGTCCCCACTGATGCACATCTCTTGCATGCAGTAACAGGTTGAATTAACAATATGAGAATATGTAAATGAAACAAACATCTGGATCATGATGTACTTCGGACAAATGTGAAGGAATGTATACTTGTTTTTACATTTAATCAATCCTTCAAAATGGATCTCTAAATCTAAGCATTTCATTTTGAAGAGGGGAAAAGAAAGATTGAGACACACTGTCTGACAAACTAACCAGTTGAAACATCACGAATCAATGGAGAGCCGAGTTCTCGGAGCTGCGACGGACCCCGGACAGTCCGCAACGTGAAGGTGTACATGAGTCCGGGAATGAGATCGTCCAGGGTCACACTGATGAAGTCCTTGGGGACATGGACGGGCGAGGATGGGCTACCAATGTCGTTTGGGCTGTACGACAGCTCATAGGCGTCAAAGTTGTCCCTGTCCGGGGCATCCCAGAGAAGCTGGATGGACTGTTCGCTGATGTTTCCAGGTCGCAAGTTGGTGGGGTTAGGAATGCTCATGTCCACATCTACTCACAATAGACAAATCAATGGCAACTATTAGATACGACTCGGCATTTCAAGATCAGACTTGAAAAAAGCGCGCATTTTAAATAAACCTGAAGGGGTTAACAGATAACGACATGCAAAAGTGTACGTCTCTTGGGAAGTATTTTAAGAACAAATTCTCGTCACATGTAGGTGACAAAAGTAAGTATTGTTACTGTTCACCAGTGCTTTTCTGCTCAAATTCATGGCTGCATGAACTATCTACTTTTGAGCTACAGAATAAATGAATTGGTGGAAAGCTAAAAGTTCAACAATTCTGGATAAATTTTTCCTTTTTATGGAGGCTTGATGCCACAAGACTCAAGCCTTACCTGTTCTGACTGTGATCGTTTGTTTCTCACTCAGTATTCTATTGTCACCAGTCCCCGCAACAGTGGCTACACTGATGATATGTGGAGTATCCGGCCGGCGACCAGTGAGGCCATAGGATGTGACAGTGCGACTAAGGGGGACCGTGCCTGCCTGGCCTGAGGAGTCCGTGTAACATAGCTAGTGGGGGGAATGGATTTATGAGAATTGAAGAAAACCTTCCTCAAAATAAAGTGAGGAATGGCTAGAATCTACAGGACACAGATGATAATATTTTCAAAATTACTCAAAAGTGAGATATGACTTATTGCACTTGCACAACAGTGTGCATTTTTTATTAACCCCTTGACGACGGGAATTTCTTCCCGAAAGCCAACTCCAAGAATTCCAGCCTCGCTTGGCCACGAAGGCCACCTGCCAAACTGCAAATTCTCGGTTTGTGGCCCTGCATGCTCTACACGGTTTGAATTACACAGTGAAAAGGCTGATTGTTTGCTGGCATGCTGCTCTACTCACCCTTCCACATTCCCGTTGCCTAATAGCTGAAAAGGGGGCTGAGGATCTCAATTTTTACAGCCGCCTCCCGGCGCAAAGGGGTTAAGAAACAGCAAAATGAACGATGCCGTTACAAAAAGTGGGGAATTTCAGAGCATTCTTCGAGAAAAAATTTATATTCTCTTTAAATTATAATGATATATGAGAAGTAGAACACAAGTAATCTCAGGAAAAGTCATGCAGTGGTTCTGATCTTTAGCTCACTTCTATTTGTGACACTGCACAAGGACAGGGTGCTCTTCTTGACCTACCTCGTAACCAGTGACTTCTGATTGAGGGACAGACTCCCAGGAGACTGTGATTTCTCTGTCGGTCTTGGTTGTTACAGTAGGTGGGTTGGCCAACTTCAGAGGCCCTGCAGAAAAAAAGTTGCAATCAAAGCATGAAGTTTCTATTTCCATTCCATCTCAGGCTAAAATTCAAATGCACTCGGAATTTGGTACCAAAAGTCAAGCAAAGTCAACACTAGTTCGTCACATGATATCGCAAACCGTCTGAAGTCAGTCACATGACATCACAACTCAGTCAATTAAATGTCAACAACAAGACATCCCATATTAATCACAAAATCAATTACAAGACATTACACATCATGACAAGTCAGTCACATGATTTCACAAGTCAGTCGCACCACGTCCAGACTCGGTCACATGATATCACTAGTCTGTCACAACATATCACACAACATTGCACGTCAATTCAAAGTCAGCCAGTCTCAGTTCAATACTGCTCAGCTTCTATATGAACTTTGACACGGACATTCCTTTTCTTGTGATCAACCTGTGATCAGTTCAGCAACAACCTCTGGCTCATGGACTCTGCTTTTTTTTTTCCCCTTCACTTACTTGTTCTTTGTTCTTTCTGATCACTCCCACCCTGGTAGCTCAGTGTGACTGTGTACAGCACGCCGGGGTGTAAACTCGGTATGGTGTATTCGTGGGTACCAATCGTGGGCTGTATTGTGGCTGAGCCATCATTAGGTGTCCACTGCACGGTGTACTGAGTAGCAACAGCAACATGCTCCCAGAACAAGGCAATCTCAGATGTCGTGACATCACCAAAGGAGATGTTCCCAACTGCAGGAAGCGCTGTGGGGCAATATGAGTTTGGATTTGCTGATCATTAAGCACGGAAACATTTTCTCCTTCGAGAAAATAAGTGTACGACACTAAACAAAACAAAAACACACATTCAGGTGGCCAACAAGGGCCCCCCCGAGCAAAAATTTGTTCCTAAAATAATGAAAGAAAAGTGATTAGTTTAGTCCAATCCGTTTCCCTTCAAAAAGTGTGCGAAAAGCCCCAACATGTGGCCTCACCCGATACAAAGACCAACAAAGGTTATAACTGTTTGATGAACTCACCCGTCATGAAGTCAAATGATATGCCGTTGCTCCGCTGGTCCCCGCTGCCTGTACGCAGTGTGACGTTGTAGCGGGTACCTGGCATCAAACCGGTCAGGCTGATTACTGGGCAAGCGTCCATGGGCAGTAGGATCTCGACCTGAAGTGGTGTGCCTGCCCCAGCCCCGCTCGCAGCGTTGGCCACGTTCAGGAAGAACTTATCAACTAAGCCGGCGAAGTTGGAGAGATCAATGCTGATTTCAGCACCATGGGAATTTGGGTTGACACTCACTACATTGACGTTAATGTCAACAGGCTCTGATATTAAAACAGAAGTACAATACGAGCCGTCAAAAATGCTTGTACATTGCTCAACGGAAGATTTGCTCTGCATGCTAAAACTGAAGTACTGCAAATAAAGAATATTTTTTTTTAGCAAAGTCTAACCTACACACAACTTTTGCTTCACAATATGTGCGTTTATACACTTGACATTTCAACGACTCTGACACTTCCCAAATTCCTTCATTGTGAAAACCATCGTTCAGAACAATCCAATACAAACTATCACTCCATACCGCATGAAACTCCAGCATGAATGGAAGTCCATCAAATTAGAAACAAAGAAAACAACAGAAATTACAAATATACCGATGTTAAAAAATGTGGGCAGGTTATGCTGACGTGATAAAAATCATTACAAAACCTCAGGAGAAAATTTACCTTAGTCTACAACCCCCCCCCATAAACATAAGCAACTTAAAGGGTCCTGGGGATTGCATTTTTTAAGCAAGTTTTGTTCAACTTTCTATTTCTTTAATTGGAATGAAAACTGCTTTATATCCCGTCTGGGTTAGGTGTGTATTGAAACGTGCACTTTTTAAATGCTTAAGTTTGTCTGTGCCTTTCTCAGAAACCTGAGGGTGGTGTCCCTGTGATGTCAATGAGGGAAGACATTTGTTATTTCATGGGTTTTGGAAACTGTGACACCAAAAAAAAAATGCATTTTCAAAGGCTGTATTTAAACCAGTAGGATTGCGTAGACCCTTTGAAAGTTATGCGACCTGTTTTCCATGACTACAAACCCAGGTCTGGGAAAGGGTTGAGACTTACTCAGTCGGTAAGACGTGCGTCCGTATGGCGTGATGGTACCAGCTGCATTTACTGTGTTGACTATTAGCCTGTAGTTCTGCCCGGGGGTCAGGCCATCCAGGCGTTTGGATGGGCTATCGGACGTAGGGACGAAGGTCGACGAGTCCTGCACACCATCATCAGGGTTGTAGATGAACTGGTACTGCGTGATGGGGTTGGTAGAAGGCGTCCACATGACATTGATGGTTGTATCAAGAAGCACTCCAACCGTGATCACAACCGGCTCTGTAGTGAGGTAGGAGAAAGCAACGCTATCACGGACCATCACAGAGTGTCAAAAACTAACACAGACAGTCACAGACTGTCACAGACTGCTAGCCCGATTTTTTGTTGAAAGTCACAGAACACTGAACACTGTTTCAAATATAAACAGTAAAAATAGACTTTCACTTTCTTCCAATCTACATCAAATCTCCATTCACATGTAGGCATTTATAAATCGGAGCAAAGACATTTACTTCAGGCTTCCTGGCTGAACTCGTTTCCAAAACCCATCAATTGTAGCCATAAAAATCAGGCCAATCAGAGCAAAAACTGACACAAATCAGTAATCACGGGTAAATCAATAACAACAGAATATTGTTAATATGTCAGTCATTTCCGCTAAATATCATTCATCTGTGGTTTGGTTTTGATTGTCCCAACCTGTGGTTCTTGTCACAGACATTGGGCTGCTAATGGTCTGGTCTTGGCCCAATCCTGCCAATGTCCGAACAGTGACCACGTATTCAGTCTCTGGCATGAGGTTCTCCAGTGTTGCGGACAGCACAGTGGGGCCCTGGGTGAACTGACTGATTACGAGCCCACTGGAGAGGGACAGGGAGACTTGATAGCCACTGACGAAGCCAACTGCTTCCTGCCAAAAGACAGTTAGGATGGACTGGCTGACCTCAGCAATCCGGAGATTCCTTGGCGGAGCAGCAGCTGAAATGAAGCACACAGACAGACACAAAGTCAGGTCAACCACTCGTCGACAGTATTCCTTTGCAATGAACTGGTTCCAAGCACAGTATTATTGTAGGCTGATGGTTTAGACTAATATATCGTAATCACCTTTACAAGGTTGGACTTTACACGTTGACCCTTGGTGGTCATCAGTTCAACATTTCTCACTGTTTTGAACTCAGACGCAATATTGCAGAGCGATATTCGCTACAATGCCCTGCAATGGCCCATAACTGCTTTAGGGCTCCCGACAGGCTCAACTTCCACGAACTAGTTCAATGCCTGTGTGTGTGTGTATGAACTCCAATGGAATCACTCAAGCGTGGGGGAGAGTATAGATATCACCAGGTCCCACATACAGAATCTGCCCCAATGTGTTTAAATGTTCTCCATGCTTGTTTTCATGTCATCTAGCGTGGGGTGGTTCAAGACACACTGCCCTGGTTCTGACATGAGAACCAACTGAGATTTACAAAAGATCTCAACTCCAATTTCTATGTACTCATCAGGTCAACATTTCTAAAAAAAAAGCAGGCTCCTACAAGGAAGTGGATACATTTTGCAAAATGGTCCAAGGAATTTTGCAAATGCTTAATAACCTCAAAAATGGCTGTAGTAAAATAGCAGAACACACAAAACCCAAACAGGATTCATGTGAAATAATTATAACAAGAAATGTCTGTGTTTTCTCCAGAATTCAAGAGGAGAGCTTGTTAAGTTTAAAATGTGTGCAACTTGAGTTGACTTTAGTTTATAGTAAGCAATAAAATCTGTATGCAAATAAGGGCTAACACTGTTGTGTTCAACTTTTGCTAAGAAAGTAAATTTGGCTAATAAATTTTGTGATAAATTGAGTATACTTGTGCTAGGCCGATATGATCTCAAGAATAAGACAAACATCCTTTGTGGCAAAACAAAAGTAAGATGCTGACGTTAATATAAAGTGGGCTTTTTTGGGGGGTATATAACTGACAGGGTAGCACTGGCTTTTCAACTCACTGGATCTGAAGGCGCGGTTTCGACTTTCCAAGCCATTAACATCAGTCACCTCCACAAAGAGGACATAAGCAGTGCCTGGCTGCAAACTATTAAACGTGTATTGCAAGTTGCTCCCGAGGGGCAAAAAGGTCGTCTGCAGGGGTGTGGAGGTACTGGGTAGCCTGAGGCTCACAAGATAGCCAGTTGCTGATGAGTACCTGGTCCTGCCCCATTGGAATGTTACTGACTGCTCTGTGACACCTGCTATGAGGATTTCTGCAGCATCAAAGTCATCTGTCAAACGGAAACCATAGGAATTATCATCTTCTTCCTTGCATACTTGACACATCTGTGACAACATCTGTTACAATCACAGGACTCATAAAAGTCCCCAAGGCAAAGTTTGAAAGTTCATTTGTACATCTTCATGCTATTCAGCGAATTCATGTTAAAGCCAACTCTCATGATAAAAAAGGGAAAAACGGCATTCCAGAAAAATCACTGTCTCAGAGACAACTTGTGCAAAGACCATAAAAGATGGGTAAGATATTAGTAGCCAACAACTGAAGACAAGTCCAGAATATGGAGTTCCTGTAAAGAAGAGCAGTGAGGACATCTGTTCCTCATACAGTTATTTACATGGAGAAGAGGAGATTTTATTCAGGGAGTTGCTAGGGAATACCACTCACCTGTTGTCACGGTAACAGTTGTCGGGGTACTCCTCTCTTCCGTATCACCCTGTCCCACGAAGGTGACAATCTGGAAAGTGTACTCAGTGTTTGGCTGCAGTCCTGAGATGGTTGCCTGCAGGAGATCAAACACACCGATACAATGCCTGCTACTGGCATCTGGCTCTGGTTAGGGATGTTACGCCCCAACTATAGCATCAGTCCCAACTATAGTTGGGCCCGTACCAACTATAGTTGGGACGGGCGCAACTACAGCATAGAGATCCTGTGTGCATGATGTGCCCAGCATGTGCCGAAGTCATATTGTTTACAAATGTCCTGTCATTGGTCATAGGGCTAGATGAAGAGATGAAGTGCCACATTTTAGATGAATTGTGTCAAGTGTGAGACACATTGACTTGGATAATGTTGAGACATTTCCCACAGACATTGGTCAACAATAGTTGGGCCAGCCCAACTGCAGCACTACGGTTGGGACTGTCCCAACCATAGCTGGAACTTATGCTATAGTTGGGGCGTAACAGGGACGCTGACAATATTGTGAATAGTTGCAATGAAATTCACTGATCTATGCAAAGCTGAATTATGCAATAGGTGCTGTGCTTAGCGCCTATAAAAAACTTGGAGGCCTGTGAAAAATTTGCGATATGAAAATACTGGCGTTTCAGCATCTTCTCTGACATTTCCATCAGCAGAGAGCTTTGAACTATGACAGCTATTCCAGGACTACCAAATGCAAGGCTTCAGTGATCAACGGCACTATGAGATTGGAGATGGTGGGTTGACCTAGACCAAAGTAGGGCTGATGGAACACTAGTGCACGGACCTCTGAAATAATCCATCTCTGGATGTATGATGTTAATGAATACCCTAAAAACTCTCAGGTGCAGCAAGTGCAACAGGTGTGAACAAGTCTCACGACTTTGCTGCATTGGGCAATCAACAGCAGCCCAATCAAAGTCCCATGTTCCACTCTGCCAAGCAAGTCAGTTGACAAACGGTGTATACTGACGTGTCTGACAGGATTTCCAGCCAAAATAACCAAGAGGGTCAAGATAAAATGTATACGTTCCAGGTCACCTCCAACAAATCTGTTTTGCTCTCATGTGAAGGAAGCCAAGTATTCATGGGAGGTACTTACTGATGGATCTGTGACGATTGTTGGCTCTTGGATGCCATCTCTTGGTTCGTAGGTAACGCGATAACCATCAGCCACACTAGTGTAGGAGGAGTTTCCAGGTAGCAGAGGATCCCAGCTGAGGACCACTGACTCAATGGTGGTAGATGACTGCACTGAAGCACGATCCACTGCTTCTGGTTCTGTGGATGAAAACCGAGGCTTGGAAGTCAAACATTCAACCTTTAAGGAATGTCTTCAAAAACTGAAACACTTCTCAAGTGAGAGAGTAACATCTTTACACAAATGTCCAATATCTATTTTATGGAACACACTGAAATTCATGCAGCTTCTTCAGCACCAATATGCATGCCATTCATAATAGGAGTCCTAGGTGCTGAGGTAGTCAAAAACATGACACCGGACACGATTGAATGTGGTTTTTTATATTAATTTTCTTAATGGTGCTAAGTATCTTGGAATATTTCTATAGATAATTGCTGTATGTTTTAATATTGCTCAATTTAGTTGAATATTACTTTGACTATTTTAATATTGTTATGTTAGATGGCCCACTGAAAATCATCTTTTTTTTAAATGACATGGTTACCATCTGTAAAT